CACATGAGCGCATTTATAAATGTTCGAGTCGAGTCGAGTCGAGTTGAGTCAAGTCGAGTTTTTTGGAAAAATAAGGATCTGGAGTAACTTCTGTCGTCGCTGGCATTCCGAACTTTGTGCGACGCATATGTCGTATACGAGGTTCGGGTGCGAGTGTGCAGAGTTGCCACAATACATTCCGAATACACATACACATCCTTTATTCCGTACATATCCTTGTATCCTTTTCTCGTTTTATATCATTTTTTATTATTTTTTTCTTCTTTTTCTGGAGTATTTTTGGCATTTAAACTTAACAACTTGTTAGGGAATTGTATAATTTCCTTTATTGCGATTGCGATTGCTGTTGTTGTTATTGTTGTCATTGTGTTTGTTGTCATTGTTATTGTAGTTGTAGTTGTTGTATATTTCATATATAACAAAATGTTTAGCTGCTTTTATTTTTCTTATTACTATTATTATTATTATTATTATTATTATTATTATCCTTGTTGCCGCTGCTGCTTCTGCTGCTGCTTCTTCTGCGTGTTGGGTGTGTGTTTATGTGAGGTCCTGTTTTGTATGATTAAAGTTCTGTTTGTGTATTATCCTTTTAAGTAACGCTTGATTTAATATATTCATGTGTTTGTGTGGCTACGACACAATATGGAGTTGTTACCTGTGTTCTGGTACAATACACTTAATTACATTGTGACCGAAAAGTTTCCGGAAAATTTTAAATAAAACGCAAAATTCTTAATCTTCATCAATATTTATTTATCTCCTAAAATATGCTCTTAGAACAAACACAAATGCCAACGTTTCTTCAATCATCAAAAAAATTTTATAGGCGCTTTCCGGTATGGCTTTGAGTTCCCTCTGCGAATTCTGTTTTACGTCTTCTATGGATTCAAAACGCGTTCCTCTGAGTGGTAATTTGAGGTTGGGAAACAGGAAAAAGTCACACGGTGCAAGATCAGGTGAATACGGTGGCTGTTCGATGGTATTTATTGAATGTTTGGCCTTAAAATCGTTGATAATGTTGAACAAATTGAGGTGAATCGGAACAAGCCGGGCGTTGACACGTCGCATACACAAATTGTCCACCAAAATCAAACGAGCCATCTCACGACCGATGCCTAGCTCTCGTGCTATCTCTCTAACACTCACATGAGGATTTTTGAACACGATTTCCTTTGCCTTTTCAATGTTTTCGTCGGTGGTAGAGGTCGAAGGTCGTCCAGAACGCGGCATGTCTTCGACGGTCGTACGACAGTCCTGAAAGGCTTTGTACCACTCATAAACTTGAGTTTTCGATAAAACTGATTCCCCATAAGCCTTTTGTAGCATTCGCAACGATTCTGCACACGAAATTTCGTTCGAAAAACAAAATTTGATGCAAACTCTTTGTTCAATATTTTTTTCCATTGTTTTTTTCGCAACGCACTACTGAGGTGAACTGGTTTCAACAGCTGCCGTAAACGAACTGTTACAGATCGCGCTCATTTTTGCATAGTAATTAAGGACAGTGCTGCAACAAATAAACTTAAAATATCGAAAAATATACAGCGCGCGAATTTTAAATGAGAATTTCCGAAAGCTTTTCGGTCACAATGTATATGTGAACGTATATATGAGTGTTTCTGAATTATTTGATAAACAATGCCAATGCCATTCCCATCCTTTTATCGGGCATTAAGCAGTTTGTATGAATGTTTTGAAAGAATGAAGATTTCAATTAATTGTGGTTAAAATATGATGTTGCTCCGGCTCATGTCAAGCAGAAAATCGTTGTGATAATAAAACATAGTTTGAATCTTATTGAAAGAGAGTATTACAATATTTGGGTCGGAGGTTATATATCAATTCAAATTTGAGAAGAATTCTTTAAGCACTTATAATAGCTTCTTTAAAACTGAATTAAAATTAAATTAAATTAAATTAAAATTAAATTTTTGATTTTGAACATTTATATTCAATAATAGTTGAATCGTAAGGACAGTACTTAAGATGATTTTTAATAGGGTAATGTTCTACTACTAATAACTGCACAAAAGTAAGTTTAGTAGAGTAAAAAAATACTCTACAATAGAACATATATTCAACGATTGAAGTACTATTATAAAAGTTAATTAATTATAATTAATTAATTAACTTTATTAATTAATTAATAATTGTTAATTTTAATGTCAATACTTTATTAATAATCTTTTAAAAGTTCAATAATAATTTTTTAATAGTTCATTACTACTGTTTACTATTGAGTGTTCCACACATGTCTACATATCATATTATTCTATTTTATATCTATAAGTAATACAAAATGTTCTTATATAGATTATATTTACAAACAATAAATAAAACAAAATCAAAACAAAACGTTCATTAATAATTTTATAATAGTATAATAATGAGATTAATGAAACAATGAATAAGATCTCTCTTCAAATTCTTTAACGATACTAGGAATAATTTTATGATGCCCTAAGAGCAGTTTCAACATGAACCCATATTTAAGAAAATTGCTTATTTTTTCTGTAAGCTGGTAACCTCGTTTCATTGCCCCTTTTCGGAATAGATTATAAGATTTTTGATTTGAAGGTGGTTAAATGTAGTTAGCCAACAAACCATCTAAACTTAGTGTTGCACACATGTCTCCATTTCATATTATTCAATATTATATTCATAAGTAATGCTGAATATTCTTATATAGTCTCTTCTCCGTTATTGGATCGTTATTGAGTACATTTTTTTTCAGAAATTGAAATCGTCTTAGTAATGTTCTGTTTTTTTGCAGCACATCCAATTCTTAAACCATTTTATGTGCACACTTTTCGTGTCGAAGATAATTGGGATTCTTATAAAAGCAATTTTTTTCGTTAAATTTTATATTATGGCTTATTTGTGAACTAGGTGTAAAGAATAATTTAAAAAAAGGTATTGTGTCTTGGATGGGTTCATGATAAATTCCACGCAATAGTCTAAGATACACATAGAGCAAAAAATTTTCAAGCTATTAAAAAACAGTTTCATTTTGAAGTTTTTAACACATTTAATTTAAAAACGAAATACGATCTCTCCTTATTCTTTGATTCTACAAGAAACTGCTTAATTCTCATATATTGTCTTACGGATTAACCGAATTTTATTAATTGAAATAGACAAAATATTTTGTCTGTCGATGAAGGCTATTCTTTTCTGTCTCTTCTTCCTGTACCATCAATACTTTAGTAGAAAATCAAGAAAGCGGTTACTGTGGCGATAAAATCTCTTTGTCCCCTTTTATAGTATTGATAACAGAATTTTAAAAACTCAGTCATGCTGACGATGAAGTATTTGTCTATGGGTTCTTTATCAATACTATAACAGAAAATTGAAAACCCAGTGACTCTGATGGCGAAGTGTCTAATTTTCCGTCTCTTCCTATCCATCTCTTCCACTTCTATTATTAATAATATAAAAAAAAATTAAATAATCTGGGACTCTGACGATGAAGTCTGTTCCTCTCAGTTTCTTCATCCAATAGTTGATGAGGGTAAATACGAGCTAAACCCACTCAAAAATATACAGTTGTTCCCTTTTTTATCCAATGCAAATATTTCCTTGTTTTGAGAATCAATGCAGAGCATGCATCCAGCACTTATCCCTCGGCCTCTTTATCTTCTATCATCAATACGCTAGTAAAAAATTTAAAAACCGGTAACTTTGACCATGATGCATTTTTCTCTTGGTCTCTTCATCTTCTTTTATCAATACTATAACAGAAAATTGAAAATCCAGTGACTCTGATGATGAAGTCTCCATTTTTTCATCTCTTCCTATTCAATTTTCGCTCTTCTATTATTAATAATATAAAAAAAAATTAAATAATCGGTGACTCTGACGATGAAGTCTGTTCCTCTCAGTTTCTTCATCCAATAGTTGATGAGGGTAAATACGAGCTAAACCCGTTCAAAAATACACAGTTGTTCCCTTTTTTATCCAATGCAAATATTTCCTTGTTTTGAGAATCAATGCAGAGCATGCTTCCAGCACTTATCCCTCGGCCTCTTTATCTTCTATCATCAATACGCTAGTAGAAAGTTAAAAAACCGGTGACTCTAAGGATGAAATCTTTTCCTTTCCATCTCCTCTTTCTCTATCGTCAGTTTTCTATTAGAATGAAGATTTAAAAAACGGTGACTCTGACGTTGAACTCATATAAATAACAACCCACTCAAGTCATTTCCAACACAATACGTATCTTTTATTCTATCTGAGTTGATGAATCACCAATTTTTTTTTTTTTTTTTGTAAAATGAAAATCATCGAACAAATTGTTAATTGAACCGAGAAAAATATGAAAAATAAAAAAATAATTGTGTCAAATATAGAATTACTCTTTGCAAGAAACACATTTTTCTTTAAGTATCGAATGTGATTATTTTTGTTTATTCGCAATCAGAAGTACTGATGCAGCTCAACAGGATCAATTTTTGATTCAGATTTCCGTTGTGTCTTCGCAATGCGTAATGTGGATAACGTTTCGAAATCTAATTTCATTTCAAAATGGCTTACACGTACATGTAAAATATCAAAACTCATTTCTGCGTCTACTCGGTGGGAGTTGGAAAGCAACAAATCCTTTTAATAAAGTAATTCATCAAAATGAAAAGCACTTTAATGCATTACCATTAGAAATTCACATCATTCATATTCGCAGGGATCACATTCTGCTCTGCTTATATTTATTTTGCCATTTATTCCATTTGAGAAAAAAATTGGAAAACATTAAACTGATTTGCAATAATTTGTTGTGCCATGAGGAACCCATCAATAATTCGCTCAGTAAGTAGTGTTTTTTCAACGTTTTAGATGCGATGTTGTAGCTCGACTAACCGGCGAAGGATATGCCTCGATTTTGCGAAATGTTAACATATTTTTTATTTTAAAAATTGAATCAAATAAACTGAAAAAGGAAAAATGATAATATTTGTTCCTGCTTATGTGTACCGAATAATATTTTTCTGCTTTCATTCTAGGTTGTAAACTCGCGACGTGAAACGGATGCTGGCGTTTACTGGTGTGAGGCGAAAAACGAGCTGGGAGTGGCACGTAGCAGGAATGCGACTCTGCAAGTTGCCGGTAAGTAAAGAAAATGATACAATTTGCTTTTGCCCTCCAACCATTCTGGTTGCCTTTTTATTTTTTTGTTACTTTTGAAAAGGGTTTCCAAGAAAATAATCAAAAATGCGTACGATATCAGCTATGTAAAGTGGGAGTGGCAGGCGGAATGTTACTTGCGTTACTCCAAGAACAGCCAAGAACAGTCAAGCTAGCCTTCATGTTTTTATAGTGATTTCTTCTTATTTTGTATTTATTTAAATTTTTTTTCCTATACTCATATTGCGTTAGCCTTTTTAACCCTGGTACTACCTTTACATCCACATAACACATGAGCGCATCCACTTGCCGTTGTCCCTCTTGGCATATGATATTGGCTGCCAGTATTCGTTCTGTTTGATTTCCATGTCTATTAGTGTGTAGCTAATTTTTTGAGTTCTGCACTCTTTTTTATTCGCTTTCGCATGGCTTCTTCCGTTAGTCACAGCAAGAAAATGTCTTTAGGGAATTTTCCGATATTTGCATGAAAATCACGGAAAGCACGTCAATTCTGTCTTGTCAGTTATGCAAGACAGCAGGTTAGAGTTGTCATCTTGGTTTACGCAGCGTTCCAACTAAAAACGCTGTGGCGGTGGCGTATTCGCTCTGTGGTTACCAATATTTGATTCGGGGTTTAATCTGTGGTTAACGTGGATAACTAAATGCAATATTAAATTTTATATTTTTACAGACATTTTTCTTGCCGTCGCAAATTGAAAGATTTTTTACACAAACAAGTAACGTTTCAGTCAAAATTTAATAAAGAAATATTTTGTTGAGTTGCTCGGAAAGGGGAGACATTTTCTTACAATTTCACTTTAACAACACAAAAATAAATTTCATTTTTTATAGGTGAAATACATAATTTAAATCTATTTTAGATTTTTTAAATACTTTTAAAATTATTATTTCAAAAAATAGGGAATTTTCTAGAGAAAATATTCTAGGGATTAGGGAAAATTTCATATCCAAAATTTGGTTTACTCTACCAGATAATACCTAATATCCATTACCAATTTTCTTTGTAAATACTAACTGGTTTAGTTGTCCAACAAATCAATAAAACTTCAAACTCCAAAAAGCAATGCGTAACGATGCTTAACTATGCTTCAAATTTGGAAGGGTTAGATACCTACCAAATGCAGTTCAAACTCATATACGACTTATCAAACCCATAAATTAAGCAATAATAATGAACAACAATTATTTTGCAAAATCTCACATAGTTCCGACACGGTCAATCAATTGATCAATCTCTAGCGGTCAATTTCTAACTTTCGATCTTAAAGAATCCCTGTTCCTAAACTAGCAATAGGTTATTCAGATGCTCCTATACTCCAAGACTTCAGTCTTTAAAGTGTTCCTCAGTTAAGGCGGACGAGCAGCAGTGCATCCACGGTGTCACTACAAACCATTATTTACGTTGAAGTAAGCTTTGGTCAGCAAGGCTATCACTCCAACCTACCCTATAGCTACTTTTATTTTTGATATAGATCTTTTAATATTTTACAACTAAAAAAAATGATAAAAGAATTAAGTACTACACATAACATAATTAAATTTTGTGAAACATTTTTCAATAAGGTCAAGCTCATACCGAAAATAAAGTCCAAGTGAAAGTTAAAAAAGTGCTGATATATTTTTTTTTGACACTATATGTTAGCTCTAAAATAGGTGCTGACATTAGCTGTTTTTATGATTCGTTATAGTTTTAATTTTAACCATATATTCATTTCATCAGCCTGAATCTGCAATTATTTTTTGGAAAATATAATTCGGATAGCTCAAACCCTGTTAATTTTCTATTTTAATAGCACCCAAAAAAACGCAAAAACAGAAGTCTGTAACATTCTTTCGTATATTATATATCTAATAAATTTCTAAGATAATTTCTTGGTCCGAAAAATAAAATAAAAAATGAGCAGCAGGTAGAATTAGGTACCTTTTCAATGTTTTCTGTGACTACCCAATATTGCAAAAAAAGTCCATGCAAAAAAAAAATTGAGGTGGAGGAACCCGCAATATTTCAAAGTGGGGTGATTGAAATAATGTACACTAGTATATGTGGAATATACATATAAAATGTTTATAAATATGTGTAATAATTCTACCTTCATCTATTCAAAAGATATGGTTTTTAAAGTTTGATTGTTTTAGAAAGTTTTAGAAAATTTAAGAAATATTTTTTTTGTGAAAAATATAAATTTTTTCATTTTTTCAGTCATATAAAACAGCCTTTTCTACAACCCTATTTTTCTCAGAACTTTCTATAATTTATTACTTTTATTTATACAGTAATACCGTACTATTTTACGAATGTTTTCTACTAAAGCAAGTATATTATTAAAAGTCCTTATCATCCTTAAATAAAAGACATGCATTTATCTCACGCTGCATAGAAAAATTCTCCAAGAGGTAAGGAGATTCTTTTGAACCATTTTTAAAAGGAATGTAACATTTTTCTGAATGCTGTAAATTGACCGTATCTGAAAGCTTATCTCAAAGAGATGACCCAATTTTAGAAAGAAATTTTCATTGAGGGTCTGACTATTATTAGTTCCTTCTTCTTCTGTTACTATATTTCTTTTAGCTATTTTGTTACTTCCTCTTCAGATTTAATTTTTAAAGAATAAAATTTTAGTATTAAATTTTAATTAATTAACACATAGCTAGACTACATTGACACTTAACAGAACGGTGCACAGACCGTTCATCTTAAGACGAATTCAAAAATGTATATCTGTTGAAAAATCCGAATTCATATCCATGTTTAACACAATGGAAAATATAAGAGGGTCTTGTCAGACTCTTATGTTTATTAAAAAGGCTTGGTTTCTTTTTTCAGGGTATAGCGAACAGAATATGTTCTATTGGATAGAGACCTTTCATTTGTACAATATGAAATCTGAAAATGACATTCAGACCCCGATTCCATGTTATTGTAGTATAATTAGTTGCAATGAAAGGACATTCAGTTGGGTGTCTAAATATCACTTTCAAACCCCAACTCCGTGTTATTGCAGTGAAAGGAGTTGCTCATTGTACATTTCGCAGTGTTCAGAAAATCACACCTTCCTAATACACTGTATTTACGGTATTATTTGACTTGAGCTAGTTCTGCTAATATCACAATTAAATTGTTTAGTAAATTCATGAAAACCATGATTACATTAAATGTTGATATTGAATTTTCATAAAATCTTTTAAAATATTTTATTTACAGATAAATTTTATTATTTATTTTTTATTCTTATTTACGTTTTGTTGTTTTCATTTCCACACCTCGTTTTTTCTTGTCCTTTTTATGGAGAAACGACTGTTGCATACATTGCATGACTTCATCTGTGATGTGAAACAATATAGCCAGTGGCAATCTGAACTTGTTATTGGTTCAGATTTCCGTTGTTCGCATTTCTCTAGGAATTTCCCGTTCCTGTCTTTGCCCACAAATAACGTTTTAGTTTCAATTGAGAGTTTCTGCTTCGCTGCCATATTCGTGCTTCAGGTTTCAAATTTGATTTCTGGTATTTAAACATTTTCGTGGGTTTGTTTTCGAGTGTGTCATACACCGTCGTCCCCTGCTTTGCCGACACTGGCTGCTTTATACTTCGAACTTGCCCTCGCATTATACATCCTGACAACCGCGTCGTACCACAGGATAAGCCACTTTTGTTGTCAGCGCTTCGTAAACATTCTTAAAAGCGGGACCAAAACAAAAAAAGATGAAAATTAAAGTTCTGGAATTTTTAAAGGAAGACGAAAAATTAAAGGGAATGTACAAGTCTTCGATTTTACTGTGATTTGGATTTTTAAATTTTTACTATCTTCCGCACTTCACTTTACTTCCATTTAAATTATTGAATTCACTTTTTTCCTTGCTCCAGCTGTCGTGGCTAACCGCACTTCCTCCTGTTTTTGTGCATGTATGAACGCATGCACACGGATCCTAGCTCAGATTTACTGCCAAGAAGCATACCATTTTCATATGAAATGAGCAATTCAAAATTTTATATTTACTCAAGTGCGAATCATGGAATTTCTGGAGTTAAAGACAATTTCCTCTTAAAGCTAAACATTCTTTTTTCGGAGTGGCACGTCCCGTTGGCACCATTTTCGCCGTGCCTTCTCTAGCTAACTTGACTACCTCCGACCGATTATTGTTGCTGTTTTTTGGTAGTACCGGTTTGGCGCTACTGCCGTCACTTTAGCTACAACTCATTGTTGCTGTTGTTGTTGTTTTTCCTTGATTTTGATTAATTTATTGATTGTTGGCGTGTTTCCTGGTACGAATACGCGCACAGCGTCGGGTGCTATCCTTATTTTTGTGAATAATGTGAGCATTTCTTCGTTGATTTATACTTTGTATTAACATTGGTGGTATGCGTGTATGTGTAGATATTGTTATTTTCCATTTTTCCTGCTTATTTCCATTAGGACTTCGAAGTTAGGCATGGAGCGACCGATCTTTTAATACCGCAAATCCTCATTCTGATGTGTTTAAATTTTAGGTGGTCTTTTAATCAATTTGGTGTTCATTTTTTGCTGCTGTTCAGGTGATTTTGATTTATTGTGATTTATGTGCATAGTTTTAAATTGATGATTTTTAGGATTCGACATTAATATGCTCTAGCTTCGAATTATGTCGACGTGCAACATGTATTTATAACGTTGACCTCTGCTATTCGTTCATTGATTGATTTTCATAAATTAATTTATTTGACTTATAGTGCAAATTTGCCCGCCACTCGCAAATCAATTAAAATGATTCAGTGCTTCCTTTTTTAATAGCAGAATTTTTAATCAATCGTGTTGGTTTTAAGTATTCCCATTTGCTCGATAGGAAAACATATATTTCAATTTTCATACGATCAAATTGCCAATTACATTTTGCAGCTTATTTTAATTGCAGGAACTCTTTAAAGTAATTAAAAAAGCGTACTTATTATGGAATAATTACTTAAAAATCCTCTCAATATTATTTA